ATACCCTTCCTAATAATCCCCAGCATAGCATTGGCCTTTTTTATTGCAGTCACACACTGTCTCGACATTTTCAGTGAGTTATCTACTACAACTCCAAGATCTCTTGATCAGTCTCTGCCAGTTCAGACCCCATCAATGTGTATTTATATTTAGGATTTTTGGCTCCAAAGTGCATCACCTTGCACTTGGCCACATTGAACCCCATTTACCATGTTGACGCCCACTTGCCCATCCTTGACGGATCCCTTTGGAGTGCCTCACAATCCTCACTGGTTTTCACTACCCCGAACAACTTCATATCATCCGCAAATTTAGCCACTTCACTGCTCACTCCCAACTCCAAATCATTAATGAACAAGTTAAAAAGCAGTGGACCAAGTTCTGATCCCTGCAGTACCCCACTGCTTACCACCCTCCACTGAGAAAATTGCCCATTTATACTCACTCTCCATTTTCTATTAATTAGCCCATTTTTGATCCATAAAAGGACATGTCCTTTTATCCCATGATTTTTGAGCTTACTTAGGAGCCTTTGATGAGGAACTTTATCAAAAGCTTTCTGGAAGTCAAGGTAAACAATATCTATTGGATCCCCCTTGTCCACATGTTTGTTCACCCCCTCAAAGAACACTAACAGGTTAGTGAGACAAGATCTTCCCTTACAGAACCCATGCTGAGTCTGCCTCAATAGGTTTTGTATCTATTTGTTCATCTAAATGTTTAAACAGAACATTTGAGGGCTTTGAGAATTGTTGTGTGTATGTTTTAAATAGCATTTTATTTATCATCAGTATATCTGACTGTCAACATAACTCCATCTGTGGACGCTTAAATCCAGAGACTGAGGCTATGTACAACAAGACAGATCTTTCTACAAACCTCAGAAAGTCCTAGATTTGCAGAAAAATCTGAAATCGAAGAAAAAAGTACATGGGGTAAAAAAAACCCAAATAGAAACAGTGCCTGTAGCTTTAAGAAACAAATGCACTCTCAGTGGCCGTTGTGGACATTGCTAGGCAATCTACAACAGTATTACCATTTTTCAAGCCTTGGTTTCTGTGAGTAAGAGTCAGGAGGAGGAGGAGGCAAGCCACCTTCCCCACATATTTTAGACTTTGAGAGAGGACTAATTGGGGCCAGCTCTGGCAGCAATTACCAGGTGATTGATACCATGTGACATGCATAGCTCACTTAGTATAGGCTTCTTGCTATTGTTCAAAGCACCCACTCCATAAAAGCCAGTGTGGTGTAGGGTATAGCGTTTCAGATTTTTTTGAATAGAGTTTCAGACTACAATGTGGGGCTCAGCTTCACTCTGCTGTGGTATTTCGCTAAGTGACCTTGGGGCAGTCACATTCAGCCTAACCCCCCTCACAGGGTTTTTGTGAGGATAAAAGGGGGGTAGCTATTTTGCGTCCCCATTTTGGAGACATTTGGGGTTCTAAATGAAAAGATTTCCCACAAAGAAACTGCTCGGAGGGGGGGGAAGCTGGAGATAAGGGCATGTAATGGTAGGTTGGCTGGTGGGTGGGAAGGAAAGAAGGAAGCAGAAAAAGGAGAGAGGCTATGGGGGCTCTCAGGGAAGAGAAAGAGGAAATACTGGGGGAGGGGAAAAGAGATGTCCCCTGCAAGTCCTTGTGGGTCCCCCTCTTGTTTGTTTTTAATTTGTATCCAGTTTACCTGCCACATGAAGGTCTGCCTGTTGCTTCTGGTCAGGTTCCCTGTCATATAGTTTTTATTTATTTAGTACATTTTTATCCCACCATTCCTTCAAGGAGCTCAGAGCAGTATGCATCGGTCTCACCTCTTCTGTTTTTACCCTGATAAGAACTCTGGCAGCAATGTTCCCTCTAGTTTCCCCCCCTGCTGAGTGGAGCAGTTCACATCCTGAGCAGAATATAACTTCTGTAATCTTCAAATGGGCAGCGCAAGACCCTGCGTGGCTCCAGATTGCTGCCGAGTGGGGCTTCCTGTGGTAATGAGCTGCCGCTCACGCATGCAGCTTAGAGGGAACACTGGAAGGTAGGAAAGGTGATAAAGAATGGAAATTGTGCTGCGCTTCAGCCTTTGCTATTTTAGGTAAAGCCAACAGGTCCCCTGTAGATGTCCATACACTCGCCTGTCTCAGTCAGCTGAGCAACTGAGGTAGCAAAACAACCACAGAGCGGTTTGTTTTTGGCAAAGCGACTCTCAGCATAATTGCTTTGGCTTGTCTTGAACAAACAGTACAAGTTCAGTGTCTTCCACCTCCTGGCTCGACTTATTTTTGAAAGGAAGTTCAAGGGAGTGGTGACCTGTGGTCTGGTTCCTTGTCTGTGTCTTGCCAAGGTGTTCACTCACATTGTGCCAAAAAGTTGTCCTTCTCCTTCCCACTGAATGTGTGAAATCAGCCATAAGGGCAATTCTTAATTGCAACGTTCCGTGCTTGAGTGTGAGTACCTGAAGAGAAAACCTACGCATCTCTTCACAGAATCTCAACATGTCTGTTGAGCGTGATGCATAGCACATTTATTTTGGGTGTCTGTGCTTCACTACAAAATATCAAGTAGGGGATGTCACCCTTTTTCTTGTGAGCTTGCTCTTCTGAGGCGTAACCAGTTCTCATGTATCTTGAGCGAACAGCCGCAAACTGTCTCTTGTCATCTCCCTGGCAGGTGCTTGGTGATAGATGAAGCTGACCGGATGGTTGAGAAAGGACATTTCTTAGAACTCTCTCAGTTGCTGGAAATGCTGAACGATTCACACTATAACCCCAAACGCCAGGCATTTGTCTTTTCTGCCACCCTGACGCTGATCCATCAGACTCCCACTCGAGTTCTCCAGAAGAAAAAAGCAATAAAAATAGACAGAAAAATCAAGCTGGAGATGCTGATGCAGAAAGTGGGCATCAAGAGCAAGCCCAAAGTGATTGACCTGACGAGAAAAGAGGCCACTGTGGAGACACTCACAGAGACCAGAATCCACTGTGATGTGGAAGAGAAAGACTATTACCTCTATTACTTTCTGCTGCAGTACCCAGGCAGGACCATGGTTTTTGCAAACAGTATAGACTGCATCAAACGGCTAACCGCACTGTTGACCATATTGGACTGCAATCCTTTGCCTCTTCATGCTAATATGCACCAGAAACAACGACTGAAAAACCTGGAGAGGTTTGCAGAACGTGACCGGTAAGTTTAATGTATAGCAGTAGATTAAGTGTATGCTGGTCACCAACTAGTTTTATATGAAGACTACTTGAAGAAGGAGTGAGGGGTAGTGAACTTTGCCCCCATGTCGACCTCTAAAGTGGCATACCACGAGTTGCGCTTGTTGTAGATTGCACTTTTCCCATGTCTTTTTGACTGTAGGTTGGAGCCAGGCTAGAGATGTTGAGGTCTGGGGGGAAATTAGGGGAATTTTTTTTCCCCCAGAGGATTTTTTATTTTCCAGTGGAAATTTGGAGGAGCGTTGAAACCTCCTGTGAATTCCTTTTTTTCTTTTGGAATGAGTAAAATGCCTTTTCAGACAATGTTTTACTCACTCAAATGTATAACATGAAGAAGTCTGAGGACTTTTTCTCCCCCAATTTTTCCAATGGAAAAAATAGGGAAATTTTTGGAGAGCACTGAAAAAAATTCTAATGTGAAATATCCCCCCCCCCTTTGGAATGAGTCAAATGCTTTTTAATACAAGATACTGTTTATTCAACAGGTATTGTATGAGAGAGGCTGAGGACTTTTTCAGTTTTTTGCTGGAAAAAACCAGAAAAATTGGGAGAAGAACACTGGAAGAATGCTTAGGAAATATTTTTTTCTCTCCTTTGGAATGAATTAAATGTGCTAAGACAGCATAGGGTGCTACAGTTTTCAGCCTTCTCTTGCTTTTGTTTTTGGCAAACAGAAAACTGCTTGTAGAAAACGAAGGCACTTACAGTTTTACATTCCGTAGATATGTCAGGTAATGCAATTTTATCTGCTGAGTAAATTACAAATTATGCATTTTGTGTTGTTAAAGCTGCAAAATAGGTTTAGGTTTGATAGGAAAGTTATTCCACTTCCCCCGCAACATTTCCAAGTTTCTTTGTGGAAAAACACAAGAGGTTTACGGCTTTAGAATTTCACATCTCTAGGCCAGGCAGTTCCCCTGGGGGGCTGATTTTGGCCTAGTAGCTTCTGGTTACTGAGCTCTAATACATAGAATACCATCTCTGTGTGGGCAAGGAAGCAATGTAACAGATACTGAGTGAACATGACCACTACAGGCCATGGTTCAGTGGCAGCTCATCTTCTTTGCTAGCAGAAGGGACCAGGTTCAGTCCTCAGCATCTCCTGTTAAAAGGAACAGGTAGGAGGTGATGTGAAAGACCTCTGCCTGAAACCCTGGAGAGCTGCTGCCAGTCAGAATTGACAACACTGACCTTGATAGACCAAAAATCTGACCGGTAGATGGCAGCTTCTCATTTTCAAGGTTTAGGTTACTCTCACTATCAGACCATAAATGGATGTCTCATCATAAGAACATAAGAGACGCCAATGTTGGATCAGGCCAAAGGCCCATCCAGTCCAACACTCTGTATCACACAGTGGCCAGAAATACCAGGTGCCATCAGGAGGTCCACCAGTGGGGCCAGGACATTAGAAGCCCTCCCACTGTTGACCCCCCCCAAGCACCAAGAAGACAGAGCATCACTTGCCCCAGAGCCCCTATCTATACCTTGTGGCTAATAGCCACTGATGGACCTCTGCTCCATATGCTTATCTAATTCCCTTTTGAAGCCATCCATGCTTTTAGCCGCCACCACTTCCTGTAGCAGTGAATTCCATGTGTTAATCACTCTTGGGGTGAAGAAGTACTTCCTTTTATCCGTTCTAACCCGACCGCTCAGCAATTTCATGGAGTGCCCATGAGTTCTTATATTGTGAGAAAGGGAGAAAAGTACCTCAGTAACCCTTCTTTAAAAAGGTAAAGGTTCCCTTGCTCGAAAGCCAGTCGAGGCCTACTCTAGGGTTGCGGTGCTCATCTCAAAGCCGAAGAGCCAGCGCTGTCCAAAGACGTTTCCGTGGCCATGTGGCCGGCATGACTAAACACCAAGGCGCACGGAATGCTGTTACCTTCCCACCAAAGTGGTACCTATATATCTACTTGCAATTTCTTGCTTTCGAATTGCAGGAGCTGGAACTAGAGACGGGAGCTCACTCCGTCATGCGGCACCCGGGTCTCAAACGGCTGAACTACCGACCTTCCATAGCCTGCAGTTCAGCATCTTAACCACTTGAGCCACCGCACCTCCTTATTTTCTTTCTTTGGGACAGTGTTAATTCCCAGTTATACCCCAGTTCTTTCTTTCAAGGAAAGGAACAAAGAAACCCTGCCAGTATCCATTAAACAGGCTCAGCAATAGTATTAAACACCAGTACAGTCAAAATGATGTACCCGTTCCACAACTCCAAAAGAGATACTCAGGCATCATTAAAAGCCCTAGAAAGCAAAACAGAGGTGCATCTCTACTGGTCTGCAGACAGGGAGTCCGCCTTACATCCTTTGGCAAGCTGTTCCACAGGGTCGGTGCCATAACAGAAAAGCTTTATGTTCTGACAGAGGCGGAGTGGCAAAACAAGAGGAATGCCGCTTTCTCCCTGCAGTTCCTATGAGTGGTGCTGGAAAGTGCCCTCAGGTCATTGCTGACTTACGACGACCCCGTAGGGTTATCAAGCCAGGGCTTTCAGAGATGGTTTTCCATTGCCTGCCTCTGTGTAGCAACCCTGTCCTTCCTTGGTGGTCTCCCATCCAAGGGCTGACCAGGGCCGACCCTGCTTAGCTTCCAACATCTGGTGAGATCAGGCTAGCCTGGGCCATCCAGGTCAGGGCTCTTATTATAAACCCGCTTGGTTTATTGCGGGCCATGTGTTTTTAAATCTGCTAAACAAACTGACTGAAAGTCTAAGTATTGCTTATTTTATAGACTTTCCTTTTCCTGCAAGTTATTGAGAGAGCCAGAGAGTAAGCCTGACTATTGAAATCATGCCATAAGCTCACTGGAAATATTACTGCCAGGGGCTGTCCAAATATTTTGAAGCCTGTGCTCACAATCTGGAAGGACACAATATATACAAAGGAAGTATTGAGTTGGATCTTACGGATCCATTCTGTTAACAGCAATGTTTCCCTCCCTCATGAGGAGCCTTCCACGGATGCCAGAGGCTCTTCGACCACCAGAAAGGCTTTTTCTATCAGCAGAAGATTCCTCATGCTGGAGGAAAGTGACCCCATTAGCTAAAAGGGATCCATAGGAATCAGCCCACCAATACCCGGGACGTTGCGCTTGTGGGATACTGCCATAGAGTATGCATCTCAATTCCACACTTCCCCGAAGACCACTGATTCTGTTCCTCAGAAATGCAGTATTGCTAGCGTTTTCATAGAGCAGACAATGTCAGCCATCTCAGACTGGAGGAACTCAGCTTGGGATTTCACAGTTTGTCCTGTAACTCGGGGCATGTTTGCATTAGTCATTGCCTCTGAGTCAGTGTCTGCTCCAGGCAGCTGTAATGCACATCTGACTTGCATTGTCATCCCCGAGTGCAGCCGGGAGATGATGCAGGGACAGTGTTGTTATGTTTAAAACGTGCAGGTTTGCAGAAACGGCAGATTCTGTCACTTTCCACTTTACAAAGCTCTTGTTTCCCCCATGATTGCTGCAAAGAAAAATGGGAGCTATTTGACCTTGACTCCAATTCAACATAAAGAGATGGTGTTCAGAAGTATTGATTATAGTGCAGGCATGCAATGATATAAGGATAGTATTTTCTGGTTGCTTACTTGTGCAGTCTCCCCCCCACCCCCAGTAAAAATACTGAATAGTTAACACCTTTTAATCTTAACTACTGCAGCCAAATGTCGTGTGCATTTTCTGGTGTTAAACGAAAAGTTCTTGTTGTTTGCCGTGTTGAGTCCATATAGACCTCCTGATACCCTGGTCAGGCATTTTTTAATTGTTCCCATTCCCTTTAATCGGGGTCTACGTTGACCATCAATGCACTTTTAATAAAAGCCCAGAGGGGAGTTGAAGCATCGCAGAACAATGTATATTACCGAGCAGGGGGTGGGCTGGGCACCCCGCTGCCTGTGAGCCACATGGCAGCACATCAGATCATTTTGCTTGGCACAGCAGCTTTGTTGCTCCCCCTCAAAAGCAGGGATGTCCTTGAGCCAGGCTGAGCTGGAGCACAGTTCAGGTTTTTTAGGGGACCTTGAGCAGTGACGTTGTCAACTAGGGCACCTCGTGGTCCTGTTTCTAGAAAGGGACAATAGCCCTGCCCCAGTGGTTAGTGCTTTTACTGCACAGGTGTAGCATTGTTCCTCGGTGTACTCAGACTGTGAGGCAGGTTACAGGAAATTGCCAGCTGCGCATGTGGTGTTGCCACTTCTTGAGAAAGCCGGAATCATTGCTGC